TGCTGAACTTCACTGTTTAGAACATTGAGGTCACTTGCTACATACTGGAGAACACACTGAATACGTACTGTCGGTGCAGCGTTCAGGACACACAGGCCCCAGTGCTCTGTCTGCCCACTCTCTAAACTCTGAGCTCCTGGGAAGGCCAGGGCTGATCCAGCGACCACATGTGGTAAGACTTAGAGCCAATCATCACCAAGAGTTTTGAGAATTCATTCCTGGTTCCAACTCTCATGAACTGGCCACCTGATCTGGACAACTCGCTCACTTTCTGACTATATGCTCGTCTGTAGCACGGGCACAACTGCCACCCTCCTCCCACTGGCACACAAAAGCACTCTTACCGCAGTCTCACATCAAGTTATGCGTCGGTGACCACTCAACCTCTGTTCCTGGCGCTCTGTGCAAACTAATCTCTGCTGACCTTGGCTCTTAGACATTCTGGCCAAAGTCACAACCAGAGAATCTCCCTATGAGAAGGGCAGTTTCACCCTCAAGCTATACATGCCAAGTTGGCATTAAACCATGCAATCCCAGCATTCTGGGCGGTCATGTTCATATAGAATGTAAGTGAGAGAGAACTGCTGCACTAAAGAGGGAGGGACTGCTTTCCAGACTGAGCTCCCAGTTGCACGGCCGATGCAGCCCTCCCCCAGCCGCGACACACACATCTTTCTTGTTCTCTAAGTGGCATTCTGTGCCACCCTCTGCCAGAGCTGCTTCCGGGTCTTGTTTACTGACAGCCCTTTTCATGGTTCCAATCCCTTCCCCCTTGATCACACTCCCCTACCCAAACACAGACAAAAGCCCACAATGACTCTCAAGTCACAATTTCTGCTAACAGTGCAGAGAAGGCTGATTCTGTACCCACAAAAAGACAATCATCCAGCTACTCAGAAATCACCTCCTCAGGTGCTGTTAATAAAACATCCAGGTGAATAGGTGAATTTTCTTTTAATCAAGAATATGGAATTAAACACTTTTCCTATACACTTTGTCAATCCAGAGGGCAAACTCTGTTTCCAGTGAACCCAGATGCAATTAGAAGAGGATATGGCAAGGTTCAAGGATGTCAGCACAGCCATCGGCAATGCCAGACAGGGCCCCTTAAGTGGGTGCTGAACGCGCACGGGCAACACAGACCGTGATGGCTGCGAGGAGCCAGAGCTCCAGCTACACTTGTCAAGCTGAATATTCTTCCTCAAACAGAATTACTTCTTGAAAATCAGAATCTCGTTATTTCTGTTTCAAGCTAATGACATTAAAAACCATTCGACAATGCAAAGCCACCTTACACAGCAAGGGTAAGGTCGCAGTGGAGAACGGCCCTCAGGCCTACCGCCTACACCTCCTTCGCTTCACCACTTGCTAAGGAACGAAGGAGAAAGGACAAGTTTGTGATGGCAATCCTGGGGGCACTGAAAAGCCACTCAGTGGTTTTTTTTTTTTTTTTAAACAAATATGATCTATTTGGCAAATTTGATCTGCCACATTTAATAGTCCTGACATGTTCTTGAACAGACAGCTTGGATAGCTCAGGTTCTTTCTGGAATGAAACTAAAGATGTCAGAAATCCCAGATATACTACAGCATGGGCAAAAGCTATATCACATCATCCAGTTTAAAGTGTCAAGGTTTCTAATCATATCAAATGTGATTTTACAGCAAAAATTTCAAGAGTAAGAGAACTACTCCTTAAGCAAAGGTCTGTCAAACATATATTCTAAAACTTTAGCTACAATTTAAGCAGCATCAGAACATGTCATCAAGATCTTCAATCTGCATGAAATTTTCCGGTGATATGAACAAAGTCTAGAATTTTATATTTTCTTATTCAAGTTATAGTGTCATCCCTGTCTCCATTATTAAAGAGTCTTAAAGTACCTAGTATCGGAACCTGAGTACGAATCATAAAAAGACATAGAACAGTTAGTTACCCCCAAGGAGGAACAGATACAGGTCAACAAATGCATCTGCACTGAAATCTGGGTAGCACTTGGGGGACAGCTGGATGAGTGTAAAGTGGGGTCGGTGCGGCGTGTAAATAAGGCCCACTACACTTGGCAGAACGTACACACTCGTAAAGGGATTCTTATCAGCTAAGACAGGGTGCTACTTACTTCCTCATTAAATAGTTTGCTAGTTTCTTTTTTGATTGGGTCTATAAGCTGGACTTGGCCTGCGGAAAAGCCCACTAGGAGAGAGACACTTTCTGCTGTGGCTGTGAGGTGGTTGAAGTCATGACAAGTAGGCTGTGTTCCTTTGTATATCCTTTTATCTATTGGTTTACTCAAGTCAGCAGCCTGGAGGAGAAAGAGAAAAATATATCGGTAAACAGCACATTGAGATGAGAAATCTAAGTTACACTATTTATATGCCATTATGTTTGATCTTAAAAACAAAAAGTTATTTAAAATATTTTTTCAGTTGTGACTCAATATTCATCTAACATTTTATTAAAGAACCTTCAACATACCTTAGCCAATTACATAAGGTTAAGATTCACAACTCATCTTCCTTCAAAAAATATGTAACCAAGATTCCTAGACTTCAGAAAAAGTCCTTGAGATGCTAAATTCAGTATCTTCAAAATGTAATCCAAGCATTTTCCAACAGAATAACTAACCATGTAATAGCTCAGCTTTCGAATACATCTATTTTCACCTAAATGCCCATTGCTGAGTTACCTGTAGCCCAGTGGTTCTCAAAATGTGCTCCCCAGACCAGCACAGCAGCATCGCCTGGAAACTTATATGTGCAAATTCTCAAGCCTGTCCCAGACAAAAGGAACCTGGAACTATGGGTGAGTCCGGCAAGCTGCAGGAAAGTCTTCCAGGTGATTATGATGCCCACCCAAGTGGGAGAACCTCTGGTGGAGCCAGCCATGCCCACGGCCCTCTTTCTGGGTCCCAGTCCCTCTTCTGTACTCGCTTCAGGACTTTTCATGCACTGAGCCCATACTGAAGTGCTTTACGTGCTCTGTCTTTATCCTCAGAACAACCCCACAGAGCAGATGGCATTTTTCCTGTTTTACAGATGAGGAGGCGAGTTGAGGGAAGGTAAGTGACTTGGCCAAAGTCAGTAATACCCACCTGGTAAGTGGCAGGGCTGGTTTGGAAACCCAGTGCATTTGCCCACAAGAGGACAAGGAAAAATATCCACCCACACACCCCAAAGGCAAAGGCACATGATGTCCGACTTGGGTTAAAAGTGATTTTTCGGAGGACCAGCAGTTGGCGTAATGGCTATGTCGCTGGACTCCCATGGAGCTGACTGCAAACTCACGCTGGGCGTGTGTGCGTACGTGCCCAAGATCCCAAGAGGAGAATGGAGGAGAAGGAATTGCAGCATGGCCATCCCCCTGGGGGATGATTTCTGGCTTTCTGTCTCTCTGGCAAGCGCACGCACCCTATAGCAAAAAGCTCCCCCCCCCCAAAAAAAGGTGATTTTTCAACATGTCTTACCCCCCCCTTTTCTTTTCTTTTTTCTTTTTTTTTTTGAGAGGTTTTCGCTATA